AGGAGGCTGGGGAAGGGCAGAGGCCAGCTGAGCAGTCAGAGGAGGATCCAGGCCCATCCCCTATCCATCCTAGGTCACGCAGGGAGGAGAAGATCAAGGAAAAGCGAGGTCTACTCAGGTGGAGATTACCATGATCCTCCTCGTGGCTTGCAGGTGGGAGCTATGTATATAAGTTTGCAATTGCACACTTAGAATTGCTGAAGTCAATTAGTGTTCACCTTGAAAGAGGCTTATCTTTGTTGGTGTTCTTCCCATGGACTTTTCTCAGTTATTTTCCTGGAGTTTATAATTAGTTATCTCGGCTTGCTTCAGAACTCTCATCAATGCGGTTTGTTTTGGTTTTCTGTTTGCCTCATTATTTACTTTTGTGACTTTAAACTGTGCCCAATAAAACAGTGAAGTTAAGTTAAAGGCTTTACCGGACTTTAATATATGTTTTGGGTTTTGAGTTATTTTGAGAGACTACGGGTCATCACATTTTGACTTCAGCCACCCCTTCAACTTATTTTTGCTTTTTGTGGGGTGACTGTTGAGGTAATTCCCCATTAGGAGAATGAGCACGTACAGGGAGAAATATTTGAGAGTAGTGTTTGAATAATACAAACACAGCACACAGATACACTGTACAGTAAATGTTGGTTTTTACTTCCAATAAAGGTTTTAAGCAAAGTTCAAAACAAGCAGTCCAAAGTCATTCACAGGTAAGATCAGTCAGTTTTTAGTCCAGGGATAATCTAATAAAAAAATCCAGTGTCAAAAACAGTTCAGTATCAGACTTACCTCAAATCCAGGAATAGCAGTCAATTAAGAGGATCGGCAATACTCTCCAACAGAAGGAAACAGAGACTCACTGAGACTTCTTCTGAGACTAAGACTAAACAACCCAGGTTTCTGGCTCCATCTTATGGCCGTATGAGAAACCACACCCAATTACAATTTTAGGATTTTCTTAAAGATACAGTATTAAAATATCTAACCTGGTTTATATATTTCCAACCCAAATAGCTGTTAAGTGACTTACATTCCTAACAGTGACCATGGATCAGCTCAGAGCAGAGATTGCCCAGTTAACCCAGCAAGTGGCTCTTTTGACTTCACAGGTGGCACAAATGCAAGCTGCCCGGCCACGCCAAAAATGTCCAGTGGCAGTGCCAGATAAATTTGATGGTTCGCGGGCCCAATTTCCAGCATTTTTGGGCAGTGCCAGCTTTACATGAGCCTTTGGCCTGAGGACTTTCCCACTGACCAGGATAAGGTGGGGGTTTTCATTAGTTTGTTGTCAGCCTCTGCTGACCCAGCCCAACCAGGTGTTGGACAATTACGCCGAGTTTTGCCGTCAGTTTCAGGCCATGTTTGAGGACCCTGTTCGAAGCCAAACAGCAAACAGACATTTGAGAGAGTTGAAGCAGGGGGTGGCTCACTCATGGATTATATTGCTAGTTTTCGGGTGGTTGCTCAGGATGTACAATGGAATGAGGCAGCACTATTAGACCAGTTCCAGGAGGGTTTGTCATCAGAGCTCCTGGATGAGTTGGCACTGAATGCCCTCACACCCTTCAGGAGCTCATGCATTTGTGTCTTCATATCGATGCTAGACTTCAGCAGCGACAGGTGCAACGACGGACAGAGACCGTATCTGTTTCCAGCAAGATGGCGCCCTTGGTGGAAGTGCCTTTGTGTTGTGATTACCGCAAGTTGAATGCAATCACAGTGAGGAATCAGTACCCGCTTCCCCTCATCCCTGAACTGATTGAGCGACTTCGTCAAGCTAAGATCTTTATGAAGTTGGATTTGCGAGGGGCCTACAGTCTGGTTCGCATTCATTCAGGGGATGAGTGGAAAACAGCTTTCCGGACGAGGTACGGGCATTTTGAGTATACCGTGATGCCTTTTGGATTAACCAATTCCCCAGCTGTGTTCATGCATTTCCTACATGATGTTTTCCGTGATTTGTTGGATCAACTCATGGTCATTTATTTGATTGACATTTTTATTTACTCAGACTTCCTGCAGGAACATTGGCAGCATGTGCGGCTAATGTTACAATGTTTGCTAAACGTGAGAAGTGTCAGTTTGCACAAACCACGATTGACTTCTTGGGACATCGTATTTCACCTGCTGGGGTGGAAATGGACCCAGAAAAAATTCAATCATTGCAGGAGTGGGAACCTCCACAGCGGGTTAAGGATGTGCAACGACTGTTGGGGTTTGCGAACTACTACTGCACATTTATTCCCTGCTTTGCTGCCTTGACTGCTCCCCTTTCTAATCTGCTCAAGAAGGGGGAGAAGTTCCATTGGGGTGCTGAGGAGCAGGCAGCTTTCAAGGCATTGAAAGTCGTCTTTGCTTCTGAGCCTATCCTCAAACACCCTGATTCAGGCCAGCCATTTGTGGTGGAAACAGATGCTTCTGATGTGGCTGCTGTTGCAGTGCAACTCCAGGCCTATGCTCCCACAGGCACCTTGTTCCCGTGCACTTATTATTCCCGGAGGTTGTCGGCTCCAGAGCACAACTATACAATGTGGGACAAGGAGCTATTGGCGGTTAAGGTCGCTTTTGAGACATGGTGGCACCACCTGGAGGGGACTCATCACCAAATTGAGGTTCGGACGGATCATCACAATTTGGAACACCTACGTACAGCTCAGACATTGAACCAGTGTCAGGTGAGATGGTCCTTATTCTTTGCTCGATTTGATTTCCGGGTGACCTATGTTCCGAGTGGAGGGAATCAACGTGCCGACGCCCTATCTCAGAAGCCCAAGTATACATAAAAGGAGGATAAAATCTTGCCCTGGACGGTGATTCCGTTGGAGAGGTTTGCGGCCACCAAGGAACCTGTGGACCTTCGACTGAGGATTCAGGAGGCACAGCGGCAGGACCCATTTGTGACAGCTTGACATCAAGAATTGGATGAGAATGGGAGACAAGAGACTCCTTGGGCATATATTGGGGACCTGTTGCGGTTCCGTGATTGCATTTATGTGCCTGGAGGTCCTCTTCGTGGCCTTATCCTACATCAGTGTCATGATAATCTGGCAGCAGGACACTTTGGGGTGTTCAAAACACTGCATCTCATCTCTAGGACATTTTTGTGGCCGAGACTTAAACATGATGTGTCGGGATATGTGGCATTCTGTGGGAATCTGTCGCCAAGCCAAGTATGCTCCTGGTGCACCCCATGGTCTCTTGCAGCCCTTGCCCATGCCAGAACGACCATGGGGGGACAGTTTCATTGGATTTCATCGTTGAGTTACCACCATCGAATGGTGCCACAACCATTTTGGTGGTGGTGGATATGTTGACTAAAATGGCCCACTTTATTCCGTGTGCGGGTCTTCCATTGGCCAAGATAACAGCTCAATTGTTTATCTCCCATGTTTTCTGGTTGCATGGGTTACCAGACCGTATAGTATCGGATCGGGGGGTACAATTTACAGCACGCTTCTGGCAGACCCTACTCGTGAAATTGCAGGCTCAGGCATGTCTGTCGTCTGCTCATCACCCCCAAACTGATGGGGGGGACAGAGAGAGTGAATGCTATTTTGGAGCAGTACCTCCGCTGTTTCAGCAATACTCAACAAGACAATTGGGTGGAGGTGCTGCCAGTGGCAGAGTTTGCTTATAACAATGCTCAACATGCATCCACCCGTATGTCCCCTTTCTTTGCTAACTATGGGTTTCATGTACGATTTTTCCCTTTAGCCCTGTCTGATTCCCCAGTTCCAGCAGTGGATACGTTTTTGCAGGAGTTAAAAGCTGTGCACCACATGGTCCACGATCAACTAGAGAGAGCCAAGGAAGACTATAAATGGTTTGCAGACCGATATCGTCACGATGTTCCACCTTTAGCGGTCAGTGATCAGGTTTGGCTCTCTACTCGATATTTACCAACAACGCAACCATCAAAAAAGCTTGATCACTGTTACTTGGGACCTTTTCTGGTCGAGGCAGTGATCAATGCTGTGGCTTATCATCTCTCCCTGCCATGGACCATGCGTATCCATCCTGTTTTTCATTGTTCCCTGTTAGTCCCTGCCTCACCCGACAGTCCACATAGACCAGCTCCATCACAGCCAGCCCCTGTAGCCCATCTGGGAGAGGAGGAATACAAAGTGGATAGCATCCGAGATTCATGCCAGTTGCGGGGCCGATTTCAGTATTTGGTGGCATGGAAAGGTTATGGACCAGAGGGCTTCACCTGGGTCGATGCCACTGATGTTCATGCTCCTCGTTTGGTCCAGGACTTTCATGCTCGTTTTCCTCAAAATCCTCATCCGCCTGGTCCCAGGGGAGGGGGCCCTGCAGGGGGGGGGTAGTGTCATGCCCCTGGTGGAGTCTGACTCTGAGGAAGAGGAGAAACAGCCAACAGGGAGTGGGAGTGTGGCTCCAGAAGTGGTGGAGGAGGCTGGGGAAGGGCAGAGGCCAGCTGAGCAGTCAGAGGAGGATCCAGGCCCTCCCTTATCCATCCTAGGTCATGCAGGGAGGAGAAGATCAGGGAAAAGGGAGGTCTACTCAAGAGGAGATTACCATGATCCTCCTCATGGCTTGTAGGTGGGAGCTATGTATATAAGTTTGCAACTGCGCAATTAGAATTGCTGAAGTCAATTAGTGTTCACCTTGAAAGAGGCTTATCTTTGTGGGTGTTTTTCCCATGGACTTTTCTCAGTTATTTTCCTGGAGTTTATAATTAGTTATCTCAGCTTGCTTCAGAACTCTCATCAATGCGGGGTTTTTTTGGTTTTCTGTTTGCCTCATTATTTACTTTTGTGACTTTAAACTGTGCATAATAAAACAGTGAAGTTAAGTTGAAGGCTTTACCGGACTTTGATATATGTTTTGGGTTTTGGGTTATTTTGAGAGACTACGGGTCATCACAATAAGATAGAACAATGTGGAAGAGAAAATACCACTAACTAGGTGGATTTGCAGTTGGCTGACCAATCACACTTAGTGTGTGGTCCTCAATTGAACTACAGGAAGTCATTGACTTACAACAAAGAGAAGGTTTAGTGGTGACATGATAGCTGTCTTCCAATATTTGAGGGCTATAACAGAGAAGACAGGGTTGACTTATTCTCTGAGCAGCTGAGGATAGAACAAGAAGCTAAAGAAATGTCTTAGATGAGAAGCGAAGCATCTTCAAAGAAAAAACAGAAAATCCAGTTGCCTCTTAAAAGGAAAAAAAAAAAAAGCACCTTTGGCACAACCATGACTTGGATGACTGAGAATCTCCATAGCAATAGCAATAGTACAGACTTATATACCGCTTTACAGTCCTCTTGAAGTGGTTTACAAAGCCAGTATATTGCCCCCAACAATTTGGGTTCTCATTTTACCAACCTTGGAAGGATGGTAAGGTGAGTCAACCTTGAGCCTGGTGATATTTGAACTGCTCAACTGCAGGCAGTCAGCAGAAATAGCCTGCAGTACTGCACTCTAACCACTGTGCCACAATGGTTCAGTGGTTATACAGACTTGGGCTCAGTTAAATAGACATTTAACAAGAAGCTATGGGTGGAAATTTGTCAAAAGCGATCCAACATGGAACTAAGGAGAAATTTTCTGACAGTGAGAGCAATTAATAATGAAATAGCTTGCCCCTCAGAGTTGTAGGTGCTCTTGTCAGTGGAGGTTTTCAAGAAAATAATCATTTATCCAGGATGGTATAGGATCTCCTGCTTTGAGCAACGGGTTGGATTAGAAGACCTCTGAGATCCCTTCGAGCTCTATGATTCTAGTCTAGTCTAATACAAGGTATGTTCAAACATACCCTGAGCCATAAACATGTCAAAAAAGCTGGAAAGTCCTTCAAGTATTGAATGGAGGTAGTATTTCAACGATAAATATGTGCCTCTTCTGTTGATAAAGTTAGTTAAATGTTTTAATAAAGATTTTAAAGGGGAAGA